GAGGCCTGAGGCTCCCCGGGCCCAGCAGCCACACACCCCAGCCCCGCACAAGACTCCCCACGTTCCCAAGGCTGTTCCTCAGCCGAGTGTCACCCGCGATGCCAGCAGGCAGAGGGCAGGCGAGGAGCTGGCTAACGTCCCTATTCCCACCCATCCCGGTGGGGCAGGAGGTCAGTCACTGGGGCAGGTTCCACAAAAGACACGGAGGTTTGAACAATCCCGCATTCAAAAGGACTTTTTGTCTGGGAACAACAGCAGCTGCTTTTCTTTTTTTTTTTTTTTCTCAAATAAAAGAATCGCTGCAGGCACAGGATTTTTGCCTCAAAGCGTCCTATTTCCTTACTTCAAGGAGATGAACTTGAGTGCCCATAGGGAACAGAGAAGTTCCAAGGACAGCCAAGAGACTAATAAAAAGGCAGTATTCTGAGCTTTAAAATGGGACACGAGAGGAGAAGACTCTTAAAATAACTGATAATGGGACGAAGCAAGTTTTAATCGCTTCTATTCCGTGCAGTATCTTTTAAATACTGCAATACCAAGGGTTTGGGGTTGGGTTTTTCCTTTGCTTGATGCCACAGCATTTGTGTTAAAGCTGCAACACACGGATGGGGCCTGTGGTCCCTGCTTTTCCACGAACACAGCCCGGCAACGCGGATGTGTGAGGCCCGGAGTCAAGATGACAAATACCGGGGCAGAAAAAGGGGTATGGTCTCCTCCCGCCTGATGGGTGCTCTCCCCGTGAAGGGCTGGGCCTGCTCTGCCGACATGGGCCAGCGATAAACAAGGATCTGAAAAGGGAAAAAGCTGCTCGATGTGAGCCCAGGCTGGAGCCCTTGCCACGCCAGCGCAGGCACGCTCGCACCCGTCGGCGCTGAACCTCGTCACGGCTCTCGCCGTGGGTGGGGTGGTTTGGTGTTTAACTCCCTGCTCCTCGTACCGGTGAGCAAGGCCTCTGCAACAACCAGCGCTTCGACGGGGGCGAGGAGCTCAGCCAGGTTTGACCACCCCTCGGCTGCTCAGGGAAGACCCAGGAAAGCTTCAGGTCACATTTCGGTTCTAAACTCTGGAGAAAGCACAAAAGCTTCAAACGAGTGAATTCTACCCAAACCATTCCCTGCTGTCTGCATCGTCTGCTGGCAAAATTCACGAAATAAGGA